CCTAATGACCTATCTTCTATCACTTCTTCTCATTTCCTGATTGGACAAACCTTAACAATACCACCAGATCTCGATTTACAAGAGAATGCGACAACCAGATTGTCACGCCTCCAGTATGTTCAACAGTTCATGGTTGGAATGGAGAGATAAAAACTATGGTCAGAAGTGTACTGATGTACGCAATGTTCACCTTCCGAATTTCATAACAATATCTCAATAATTTCCATACAAATATGGATAAAACTAAAAATAAATTAAAATTTCAACGCCCTCTGCCTCAAAAACTAAGCATTTTAAGTGATAAGTTTATAAGACAAATCCATATTATTTTGCCGTGATCTATCGATGCTTTAGGTTTCTCAATTAAAATCTGGTCCACACTGTATAAACAAAATTAATATAGTCCATCGGGGCAATCAAATCAAATGTCATTGCCGATGCGTTACAACAGTGCTAACAAAACAAATATTTTTATATTACATGTTTCTCAGATATATATCCTACAAGAAATGCATTTTTTTTAGTATTCAGTGTAAGGAAACGTTCAGGCGAATTTCTAAAAAATTTTGCCTTCCGCGGAAATTATGGAAGCGACGCCCATGAATATAACTACGAATTGTACCAGCCATACTCACCATTAAATGAACAATGAGAGTTTGGAAGTTATACACTAACAGAATTGTAATAAATTTTTATTTTGAAAAACAAGCAAAATTCCTAGTACCTAAAAATAAACTAGAGCTGAACGAAAAATTTCGTTTTTCGTAATATGAGCCACTGACGAGTTCGTATAATAAAACTAAACCTTTTGACATCATAACTCTGCAATCATAAAATATGACATTAAAAATACGGTCTAATATTTCAGTCCCTACTCGTAGTTGGCCAAAGAAACGTCTGCTGAAAATCAGGCTTTCCCGATGAATTATTTTAACTGCTCTGCTGGATTTTCTTTGTAGATATGAACGAGGTTCATCGAAGCGCGTAGTGCATTTTAACCACTTATCCACTTACAGATACTTACCCCTAACCACCCCCCTTGCGTGCGGAAATAAGATTTTTCAGTCAATTTTCTTCTTATAAAAAATCCGTTATTTGTTAGACGCAAACTTGATTTAAATATAATGCTTTGATATACTATTTGCTATCGAATGAGAATGAAGAATTCCAGCGCTTTAAATTTAATTTAATTAATTACTTCTATTTTTATAAGAATATCAGATGTAAAATATGCATGTCCTTATATGTAGTAAGATTTAAATTGTAATATCTCAATGGTTGAGTGGCGAAGTGACGCTTCTCTCCACCCAGATGACCCAGGTTCAAATCCGAACTGGATCAGGTCGAAGATGGTATAGTGGATATCTTGTCATTGATTGATATTAGTGGAGGGAATATGCTGACTTTAAGTAGGTAGGTGAATAAAAAATAAAAAAAAATTATTTTTTTCATCGTTCGATGTTATTTGTAACCTTTTAAGTGTCAAAAATACGTTATTTCTGATTGCCGTACAAGAAAAAAATTTTTGCACGCCTCACCGTTAAAAAAAAAAATTTTTTTTGACGTTTTGCACAAAAAAGTTTAATGGCAACATCCATTCTTTCTTTATTATGCTCTTTCACATACCACTTTGCAATCATGGAGAGTTTCCATCTTCCATGCCGTTTAAGTGTTAAAATGGCAGCCCATGAGGCAACTAATAGTGAAGCAGATGATCTTCTGAAACTGTAATCAGTGTGTTTTACTGTATTTGATAATTTAAGAAACGATGCAATAAGGCTAGGGATTTTGGCAAATGTATCTACCTCAACTTTGCATTTTCCGTTTATATACTAGAGAAAGAATCTCGGATTTTGTGCGTGTCTTGAACAAAATGGCATGTACTTGTGGCAAATATCAACTGAATTAAATTTAAGTTCATTGTTGTTAGATATTGCAAATAATCTTTGTATTTTTCATTTGGAGTCCGGAATCGTGACAATTTTGAAAACCTCTTTGTCGTCGACGTCGTTTATGGTTATTTTTGAAAGTTCGTCCTGACAATAATTGTATTATCATGATTATTTGCACTGACAAAAAATTTTTCATCGAGAGCAAAATTCGTCCCTTGTAAAAACGTTTGCTTTTTTTAGGTTTATAGCCAGCACAATAAAATATGCAGAGAAGAAGTGGATAAATCAAGAAATACTGGAATATATGAGAGAAAGAGATCAGAGACATACAGCTGCAGCAATAAGTAAGACAAATGAAGACTGGGAGAAATATAAGAAAAAACGAAACGAGGTAACAGCATTGATAAGAAGACAAAAACAGAATTACTATGAACAAAAAATTGACGATCATAAAAAGGACGCAAAAAAAATGTGGAAAACATTGAAGAAAATATGTCAAAATAAAAATTTTTCAGCACCCAAAGAAATTCAGTTCAGTAATGAAGTAATAGAAGATGAATTCAAAATTGCAAAAAAGTTTAATGAATATTTTGTAGACAGTATTGATGCTATTATTCAAAGTATTCCCAAACAAAATGGGTATGAGCTAGATATAATATAAGTAAAAAATAAATTAACAAAGTTTAAACCTATTGAAATGCGAAGTCTTAGAAAAATTATAACTGCATTACCTAACAAGTCAGGTATTGATGGTATATCCACAAAAATTATAAAAACTGCTTTTGAAGTAATTGGTAATAGATTCTTGGATGTTATTAATAGTTCCCTACAAGAAGAAATTTGTCCTAGCAACTGGAAAATATCTGTAGTTACGCCTATTCCCAAAATTTTGAATACAAAAATATGTGAAGAATTTAGACCAGTTAACACGATGCCAATATATGAAAAAAATTTAGAATTGGTAGTAAAAGAACAGTTAGATACCCACTGCAACGATAATAATATATTAATAGCGAATCAATCTGGCTTTAGAGAAAGTCACTTCAATTCATCATATCGGATTGGGTTAAGACAATAGGTAAAAACCAAATCATAGTGGCAGTTTTTTTAGACTTTAAACGGGCATTTGAAACGGTGAATCGACAGTTATTAATATTAAAGTTAGAAAAAATGGGTGTTGGTGGATCTGTACTCAAATGGATTGAATCTTACTTAACTGGAAGAAGACAAAAAACGAGATACGGAAATAGTGTATCTAATGTAATAGATAATGACTTTGGGGTGCCACAGGGATCAGTGCTGGGGCCATTATTATTTGTGCTGTTCATAAATGATATAGTTAAATCAATCAAAAAATGCAAGGTACATCTATTTGCAGATGACACATTAATTTATGTATATGATGAGAATATAAATGATGTTATTAATGTCAAGATTTAAAAGAAATATTTATTTGGTTATGTGACAACAACTTAAAAGTAAACACTGATAAATGTAAATATATGATTCTCGGTAAAAAAACATATACTAAATCAGCTACAAGTGGAAGAAAATATTGTATTAAATAATAGAACATTAGAAAAAGTTTCTGAAATTAAATACCTTGGGTTTATAATAGATGAATCCTTGACCTTCAAATGTAACAGTGATTATATCATTAAAAAAGTAGCAAAAAAGGTTTATTTTTTACGGAGAATTTCAAATTATTTATCAATGTTTTCAAGAATATTAGTATATAAATCTATAATAGCTCCACATTTCGAATATTGTGCAACTCTACAGCTATATTTAAATAACAATGACATTCAAAAGTTACAAAAGATGCAAAATAAAGCTATGAGGATAATTTTAAAATGTAACAAATATACTCCCATTAACACAATGTTAAATGTTTTAAATTTTTTAAATGTTAGACAACGTATACTATTGAAAGCAATGCAATTTATATTTAAAATAAAAAATGGCATGGCTCCGAGATATTTATGTGATAAATTAAATTTCGTTCGAGATATTCATAGTTATAATACTCGTAATGGAAATGGTATAGTAGAGAGATATGACAATTTAAAGGAATCAAAATCTTTGTTCTGTACTGGTATACAAATATTTAATGGTTTACCAAATGAAATAAAATACTGCGAAAAATATAATGTCTTTACTAAACTGTGTATTAGTTATGTTAAACAACAATTCTGATTATTTACAGTTAGGTTAGGTAATATTACGCTAAGTTAGGTTAGGATACAAAGATATTTGTAATTATTTATAGTTACTATATATTTAGATTTGACATAAGATAAAAAATGTATAATGTACTTGTTTATATATATATATTTTGTAATTCAATTGTAGCTTTTTTAGCTAATAAAGATACATTATTATTATTATTATTATTGTTTTTTAAGGAACGCACTTTAGAGTACAAACTTGTATCAATATTTCCTTTGACAGCCAAGATCGATTTTATCATGGAGTATTTTTACTATAGAGTTGCCGACTTTAAAGATTTGGATTTTTCACCTAAATAAGCAAGAACAGGTTCCGTAACCATATGTAATAGAGTTTCTTTTGCCGGTGCCAACTGGAAAAGGATTCTCACTCTTTTTCATACTGACCTCTAGACATCTCAGAAAAAGCTGTAAGCTAAAGGCTTCTTTTGATTTCTTCACTTCTTCTGGATTATCTGAAAATATCTTTGATCACTTTTGTTGCGCGTACTTAAAAAAGTCATCCAAAGTATCTTCACAAACAAGTTCTTTGAAACTATTTTATTAAGAAAATAATTGCGACTAAATATTTGGTTTATTTATTTAATACCTTAGCAACTTTATGAAATCATGTAATAAGTTTGTTATACTTATGTTTTGGTTCGTCATTTTTGTCAATTTAAGAGCAACTGAAAAATTTAAGTTTTGATATATTTCCCGTACTGAAAAATTCTAACTCATTCATATTCTTGTTAAATAAATAACATGTTTTTGCAATAATTCTCTGTGCGTCCACCCATTCTCAATTCCTGAGTTTGTCACTGTGTAATGCAATTTATAAATAAGTTATCCATGGTATGTAATGACAGTGGATGTATAATTCGGATTTATCAGATGCTCAGCTGCGGTGTCCAAGTGGTTAAGGACATGGACTCGAAATCCATTGGTCTTAGCCATAGATTCGAATTTTTTTCACAGCGATAGTTTTGTTGTTTTGCTTTAAGCTTTTTCTGACACTTTTTCTTCATAATATGAAAGACCCACGATGATTTAATTATTCTACCTCTAAGATAACTTACTGTTATACCGGTTGGTGTACGTTAGGCAGGTACACGGGCACTGTTAGGAAACGAGCCATGTGTAGGGCGAAAGTACACCTCTTTTACATACCTATATAATACCCGATGTAAGTACAACAACCGGTATAAAGAATTCTAAATTTTTAAAAAAAATCATCAGAGAATAATGTCACTACCCTCATAATTTTAGTTTAGTGTACGAGGAAAACTACACTGAGAGCCTACAGCTCTCTTAGGAAGCATGTTTAATAAGATTTGTTTCTTATTTTTGTGTCCAGAAATATTGAGGGAAATATTGCAATTTCCGAATCCGTATGTATGTACTGAATAATCAAGCAAAGCTAAGATATAAAAAATGGAAACAGTTCTTCCCTATTATTTTTCTACACAATTATTTTATACTGATTACCTTAAATTTTGTAAATCTTAGGATGATCGATGATGAGCTATTGGTACGAAATTCATACACTACAAATACGCATTGCGGAATCACCTACCCTAAAAGAGAACGTTCGTGATAGGTGACACCCTCGAAAGGCTGATATTCCAGCGAAGATAAGAAATAAAGATCGAAGAGCGCTAGAAGAAATAATCAGGGCGGGGTCTATCAGCCAAGACAAGCGGAGGTCTAAAGGTTGGATGAGCAAAGAAACAAGACAACCTTTTACTAGGCTTGGTTCTGACTCCTGGTTTATTGCAATGAAAGTGATAAATAGCAACAATCCTACTTGGTCTTGTCATTATAAACCATCACTTAAACTGGGAAAATTTGCGACTATGCTAAGAGACAATACTAGTAGACTATGACTTTTCAGCACATGTCTGAAATAATCCTCTGATTTAATGTAATCTGCTTTAATGAGATGGTAATGCATAATGTTAGAAAATGAATAAACTAATAAGCATATTATAGAAATAAATTTTATTGCCTTCTTTTATTTTCTTAATAAAATCATAACATAGCTATGTAAATAATTCGTGATTTGTTTCTGTATAAAAAATGAGAGATTTCCCTGAATATTAGTAGTTTATATGGAAAATATTACTTGCTGCATGAACTACCTAAAAAAAAATCGGAAACAGTTGCGTGACAGTATGGTTATTTGATGTTGGACGGGTGCTTGCTTCGCGTCCTGATTGATCTTGTTTTGCCATCACGAACACTAAATTATTGCGAATATTTTATAGTATAATCTTAACATGTCATTTAATATGAATAATAAGGTCATGCATAGAAATTACAATATACCTTATTTTATATCTAATGAGCTTTATAGTCGTTCTGTAGTATGCTAGATAAGCTTTATTAATTTTTTACTCATAATATTAAGGCCGCTACTGTATAATTAGTAGGTGTTGTGTGTCCTTCGTGGCCTCATGAATTACAGATAATATAAGAAAAAATTTCACAGTTGCTTAATAATACTGACAACAATAGAATATTCACAATTTACAATAATATACCAATAATGATATATTTCATTGAAAATGTGATGTTTTTTTTCGACAGAACCAAATCAAATGGACATATATTCTTCTTAAGTAGGTTTTTCTGTACTAAACGGTTATTAACGACTATTTCTTTAAATCCAAAATTATCAGTTTCCAAGAAATGTGAGATTATAAAATTTAGATGCATACATCGATATATCAAATAAAAACCTGTTATTCAATACATCATTTAAATGTTAATTTTAAGAGCCCATACAATTATGGATGGACTTTCGAACACGAGCACGGAACAGTTCAAGACCCTATACCAGAGGCGTAAATAAAATCCTATCAATTTATTGGTCGGGCAGAAATCGCAACAATAATAAGTTTGGATGAACTTAAATGCTGCAATGAATGCACTTAGAAGAACTGTAATGCTAAGTTGACTCGAAGATTCTGATTCAATAGCAGAAGAAAATTATTAACAAGACTGCTTCCTATAATTATTTACAAAATTATATTTCCTTTTCTGTCATACATTACATATTTCTCTACTACAGTTTATATTTAAATCAATATAATCTGCAATAGAACTGGCTAAGGAGAATGTAAATTTCTTGAAAAATGTTTTATTCTCCGAATAAAATACATTTCCATTATATGAATATCACAATTCATCCTTTACTCGCTACTGGTCTAGGGAAAACATGTATCTCAATGTACCATTGCGTACCTAGTGTTCTCAAAAAGTTAATGGGCTTGCTTCTTGGGAACAATTGTCTTTGAACCATTTTTTTTATTAAATTTTAATTCAAAGAAATGTTAGCTTACTTCGAGGCAACGTTTATCCTGCATTGGGAAATCAATTCCTACAATTAACACAAATCTGGTTCCAGCGAGATGACCGCTGTAATACAAGGATGGTGAGAAGTTTTGTTGATGAAAAATTCTCAAGTCGTACTATAAATGGGAATGGTACTATTAAATGGCCTGCTAGATCACCTGATTTATCCCCAAATGATTTTTTCGTATGTTATTACAAATAAGTAATTTAACAACATTTGCATGAATGGAGAATCGATGTGGTCATCAATGAGTAACTTTCACAAGATATAGATATCTGGCAAATCAACTGTGCCATGTACAACGCCGCGAAGTAACTTGTCCCCCATTAGAGGTCAACTAACATCTTAAACGGGATCGACAAGGTCAAGCGGCGTATACAAAAAGTCGAAGGCAAGATGCAGTTGTCCAAAAAATATTCATTTCGATTCCAGAGTGTGATGGAACATGTAACAACTGGTAGAGTTTTTACACCCAAAATTCGACGTATAGCAGCAGGGCTAAGACGTCAACATCATACTCTGTCAGTGATGTTTACCATCAAGCACCACTGTATAGGTAGGCTCCGAATACTTGTGGCTGTAAAGAAAAGTTGAAGACACGGGTAAGGAGTATGGAGAAAAACATGCTTATTGCTATCAAGAACTTCGCTGTCCCAGGCCCAGACGGTATTAACAACTGGTTGTGGAAGAAATTCCCTTCCATACACCGTCATCTAGCGCAAGTTTTCAACTCATGGTTGAACGAGAGGCAGCAGACTCCGAAGTGGTTTGTTGAGAGACGCACTGTGTTATCCCAAAAAGGGGGGATTATTCCAAAGCCGAAGAATTATAGGTCGATCATTTTCCTTAGCTCCTGCTACAAGATATTTACACCTATTTTGTCCGCCAGGACCCTCCAGTCTTCCAGCAGATACACAAACAGCATGGTGCTAAGAAAGGCATGGTACGTTGCAAAGACAGTCTGCTGATAGACTGCTGTATTACACAGGATGCTGTGCAATACAAGCGTAATCTATCCATGGCCTGGATCGATCACCACGAGGCATTTGACGCAGCATCACACTTGCCCGAATGAGATGCATAGAATAGATGATGCCACTCTGGAAGACTCGCTTCACCATAACATCAGCTGCACAGCGAGTCACGACAGCAGGTGGCATTTAGGAGAAGAGTTTTCCAGGAAGATTCCCTGAGTCCTCTCCTCTTCTACATCTGAATGCTAACGTTGACTGTTAGGCTCCGCCCATTTATTTTATATGGATGACCTCAAACATTATGCTCCCGGAGGGCGCGAACTACAAAACGCCCTAAGGATGATAGAGGAATACACGCGGGTAATTGGTATGGAATTTGGGTTGGACAAATGAGGACCAACTGCGAGAAATTCACTAAACTCTCGACATATTACGAGTAAAAAAAAAGTTCGTAAATGATTTTATGATTGGCTAGGATTTTGTCTAGCACAAGAATGCAAAATTTTCGAGCGTCTTGTTAAGTAAGTAAGGCTTACATATTATTTCGAAAATACATTATCTGTCTGTTGATGTGCTAAATAAACAGGGCATCTTGTTTATTACCTGGGTTTAATTCATTCAAAAATTAGAGAAAGTGTGTCAAGCAGACTGAGCAGGCAAATATGTATAATATTCACACGAATAATCTTAGACCGAAATACACCCACATTTAGTCAACGATCTTTCATGAGTTTTTCAAGAGATAACAGCATTTGAATTTTTCCACATTTATGCGACACTAAAAAGACGGACATAATCCAATGCAGGTGGGGGTATTTGCCCGCTGATTAGTTGTTTCGTTCAAATCATATTTAAAAACAGTAGTTTAGTCCACCTGGGCTAGAGGTCGCCGCTCTCAGTACTTGCCTCGCAAGTCGCTATCCGCCACAAAAACATCTGCGATGTCGGTCGGATAGTAGCATTTGGACAATATGAGAAGTTCCACATACCTCTCACCACTCTTCAATTTAGTCAGTATATGACTAGCAGGTTGGCCACTATTTGTCTGTTCCATAAACTATGGCATACAGAGGAGATCTAATAAGGTCGAAACCGGTCTATGTCTGGTTAGGAATTGACAAATGATATTGGCTGCCGATCTATCATGATTTGAAGGTATAATCCAATGCAGGTCGGGGTATTTGCCCGCTGAGTAGTTGTCTCATTCAAATCATATTTAAACACAGTAGTTTAGTCCACCTGAGCTAGAGGTCGCCGCTCTCGGCACTTGCTTCGCAAGTCGCTATCCGCCACAGAGACATCTATCATGTCGGTCGGATAGTAGCATTTGGACCATATGAGAAGTTTCACATACCTCTCACCACTATTCAATTTACCTTAGTCAGTATATGACTAGCAGGTTGGCCACTATCATTTGTCTGTTCCATACAATCGTCGAGAATTATATAATATGTGGGGAAGGACGCATAATTTTGGCGACAATGTCGAGAATGATTGCCTCATTGTTTACCTGATCATTCTGTTCAGTCTGCAAACGAGTGCGGTTTGATAACTGTTGCATATACGGTGAGTATAAAGCAGTTTTTTAAATTATTGTATGGTTTCTGTCGAATCCAGTGCGGTTAGCGGACGTTAATAACGGCGAGGT